GCGCGGCTCGGCCTTCCCCGCAGCTCCTCTCCTCCCCCACCCCCACTCGCCTGGCCCAGACTCCCCGGATTTACCGAGGGAAACTGAGGCCCGGAGAGGGGTGGGTGCTGTCAGGGCCGCATACCTCGGCGGGGTGGAGCCAGATGACACCCAAGGCCCTGCTGCCCAGCCCAGGGCCCCCGCGTGGGCAGGGTTGGCAGCTGCATTGATTGAGCACCACTGCTGTCTCCCGGCATGTCGTTCTCCTCACCCCGTCCTAGAGGGAGGAGGGGCTCGGGTCCCTGGGACGCTCTGCGGTGGGGGAGCTCGCAGAGCACCTCCTTGGCTCTCCTGGGAGGCGTGCTCCGTGGGGGGTGCCAGGCAGGAAGCAGCTGCCCCCCATTCCTTCACTCTAACCTGGCAGGGCCCTGCTGCGTGTCTGACTTCACGCTGCACAAACGGGGCGAGAGCATCTGCCCATTGAGCAGGTGGGGAAAGCGAGGCTGTGAGCAGAGGGAACGGCCCAAGGTCGCAGGAGCTAAGTGGCATGGCCAGGGGTCTGACAGTTGTGCCTGGGAGGGGTCCCCGGCCCCCGAAGTGTTCACGCGCACAGACGCCCACAGGAAGTTAGAACTGCTGGGTGTCTGCCCCGAGCTGGTGGCCATGTGACCCTCTGGGCACATGGGCGTTTCCTGAGGTTCTTCAGCGCCCCTGCCCGGCCCCAGCCCAGCGCCCAGGCCGGCTCCGCCCCGGGTCTCTGTTCAAACACAAATTGGGGACAAAGTGACCGGCCCACCGGGACGCTGTACACTGGGATGGGGGGGCAGTAGGGGACAGGCCCCAGGAAGGGCCTTGGTCGGGGGGCCTGGTCTGGAGGGGGCGAGGCAGGGGTTTAGGAAAACCCCAGGCTGGGCTGACGGGTGGACTGCGGGCCCCTGGGGGGAGGGGGCAGGCACACCTCCTCCGCCCTCCCAACGCCCCCTCCAGGGGTGCTCCCAAACCTCGCCTTTTATGGAGAGGAAGTTGGGCCAAGTGGGCCGGGCCTCCGGAGGGGCGGGGTGGGGGCTGGGGCCTGCAGGGCGCTCCGGCCTGGAGCAGCCTGCGCTGGACACCTCCGAGCCGAGCCGGGCACCAGCTTATCTCCATGTGAGCCCTGCGGGCTGGGAGCACCAGATAATAACCACCCAGCCCGGCAGAGGGGCCTGGACCCAGCCACTCAGCCAGCACCTGGCCCTGGCTCCCACCACCCCAGGCTGGCCGCTGGGAATGGGTCTGAGCAGCTCACCTGGGCAGCTACCTGCCTGGGGTCCCAATGGACCCTCCACCCTCGGGTTTGCTCCCGCCAACCTGCGAGAGTTGGACCTCTGTTCTGGCGCCCAGTGTCTGGGCCCAGACTCCCTGCAGAGGAGGCCTCCACCCTCAACTGCCACCAACCCCAGCCCTGGTCACCCAGTGGGAGGAGGGCTGGGAGCCCAGGATTTAGGGCCATCAGGGAGTCCAGAGTCCACCTGGGACCCTGAGGGTCCAGGCCGAGGCCACTGGGCCCCGCTATGCAGGTGGGCACACTGAGGCCAGAGGCAGCAGGGCGGGGCCAGGGTGGGGCGGGAGTCCTGCTCTTCCATGGCGGCCAGTGAGCCCTGGCCCGAGGGCGGGGGACACTGGGATGCTGTCTCAGGTGTTCCCACGGGGACCCCACAAGTGGCCTGCCACAGGCTGTGGTTCTCCCCGTCCCCCCGACATTCCCAGCTCTTACGGAGACGTGGCCTAAGTCTAGAGCCGAGTGTCCCGCGTGGGGCACGGCAGGAGGGCTCAGCTGGTCAGGGTCTGGGAGGGGCGTGCCCGGTGTGTGCTCCCAAAGGTCTCTAGGCCTCTTCTTTCTGCCCCTGACAGACAGCTGCCTCCTGCCCCGCCCAGGCCTGGCCTTGGCCATGGGGAAGGTGGTGGGGGAGCTCCCAGAGGCTGGTGCCAGACCCAGTGCACCCTGGGCCAAGGCGCTGTCCTGATTAAGTCTAGATATGGCCCCTGATGACAGGGAGAGGCCCTGCCCTTTGTCCTTTGCCCTTTGTCCTCTGCTCAGGGGGCTGCTGGGATCAGGGCCAGGAAGTTCAGCTCATCAGCTGATGGGCACACACCCTCCTCCTCCTCCCACACCCTCCCACCCCGCCCCCAAAGCCCACTGTGGGTACCACGGAGGGAGAGGCCACTGGGCCGGAGTCCCCGCTGGGAGCAGGAGCGGCAGCCACCACAGCAGGCCCTTTCCAACCCAGCAGTGACGTGGGGCACTTTTCTGAGCTGACACCCCCCCGTGTTGTCCTCCCGACAGCCCCCCACAGTGTCCCCCCCACTTTACAGGTGAAGAAACCGAGGCCTCCCAGTTACCTGCCCAGAGTCACGGAGATGGCACACCTGCCCCCTCTCGCCATCACCCCTTGGGCAGGCCCCTCACTCCTCAGCCTGACCTGTGATTTGGGGAACCATCAAGGCCCCTGCCTCACGGGACGATTGATGGGGAGTGAGCAAGACAGGCCTGGCCCCTGGAGGCCGTGAAGGGCAGTGGGGCCTGTGGGGGATGGGGACTCAGTACCTCACCTCCAGGGGAGCACAGCCCTGCGTGGGAGTGAGGGAGCCGCACACATCCAGGCAGGTCCCGGCCCCGACTGTCCGCCTGGGTACCCACAACCTTAAAACGGTCTAATGAATGCTGCCTGCCTACCCCTTGGGGTGGCCATGGGGCCGGAATCAAATTCCAGAGCCACCGGAAGGGAAGAGCAGAAAGGGAGGAGCACCAGGCCAGCCCACTGTCCTCACGCGTGGCCGTGGCCGTGGGTATGCGCACGCCTCTGTGTTTCTGTTACAGACTCCTGCTCGGCCGGAGGCAGCGAGGAATTGAACCCGAGGGGGCTGCATCTGCTGCTTTACGTGGAGCCACCTGCTGAAGCATCAGCTTTAGCCCGTCCCGCTCCCCCTCTCCCGGCCTTCAGCCTCTGTAGCTCCCCAGCACCCTGCAGGACAAAGTCCCGGCTCTGGGTGTATGCCAGTCCCCGAGCACACGCCTGCCCCAGGCATTCTGGTTGCCAGCTAATCGCCAGGCTCGCGAAGCACTTTGCCACCTCCTGGCCGGACGCCAAAGCTGTATTGCTGTGGCCCTGCAGCTCCCTGCCCTCGCTGGGCCAGGCAGAGGCTGAGGGGAGGAAGGGCCGGCGGCCAGCTTTGCGGGGAGCAGCACCGAGGTCCTGCAGCTGTCACCTGGGCGGCCTGGTTCCGAGCTCCAGATCCAGTTCCCACCAGTTCCCTGCTGGGTCTTGGGGTGCTCCCAGTGCTGGGTCCCAGAGGCTGGCCCCGTGAGCTTGTGTCTGTGGGTGCCCGGCCTCCAGGAGGGCCTGTCTCTGGAACTTCGGGCTCCAGACCCCAAGCTTAACCAGGTCTGTGAGTCTGGGCTCTGCCATGTCCACCTCAGTGTCCCCATCTGTACAATGGGGCCTGAATTCAAGGCCCGGAACATTCCTCCCAAAGGGTGGGGGCTCGCAGCCCCCCTGAGCTCCTTCCCTCCGGTGTCCGGGGGCTGAGGGCTCCCCTGCCTTATGCCCACCCCACCCCAGCTCACCCACTGGGTTCTTTCTCATCTGGGGCCTCCAGGGGCTCTCCGGGGTGCTGGCCGGAATGAAATGGCGTTGGGCCCAGATCTCCCCACTGAGGTTCCCGCAGACTGTTTCCGAAGTGCGCCATCACCTCAGATGTTTGCAGCTCTCCCGTCACCCCCTCTGTCAACGCCCTCTCTGTGTCTCCTTGCTGGACTCCTATTCAAACGTCAAGGCCCAGCTCGGAAAAAGCCCTCCCCTGGAAAGCCTTGCCGGACCGCAGGCTGCCCCTCCTTCAGGCCAGCCCCTCCACACCCAGGATGTCAGGTTGTGGTCCCGGGACCTCTGGAGCGCGGGGCCGGAGTCTGACCTGTGAGCATGATCAGCCACGGGTGAGTCAGCTGCTGTCAAGACCCGAGGATTTCCGGTGACACTCACCCTCCGCTCCCCTCCTGCCAACACCCGCTGGAAGGTGTGCGCCCTGAGCTGGCCCGCCCCTTCCTCCCTGGCCTATTCCTCATCGGCTTTGGCAGTCGCAGCGCCCGGCTCCTGCCAGGGCCCTGCCACGCCCTGCCGGGACAGGATGCTCACACCCTGGAGACGACGCATCCATTCCTGCCGCCCGTCTCCCTTCTGTACAGAACTAGGTCCCTTCCGTCCCTCCTTCCGTCCGCAGATGGAAGCGGAAAACCTCACTAATGACGCGCCAGGAGTTGGGGATCCCACAGAGAGCAAAACAGATGTGGCCCCGCCCGCCCGCAGAGCATGGAGGGAGAGGAACCCTGTGCCCACACAGGTGCCTCTGATTATCAGATGTGAGCAGTGACAAGTGCGGGAGCCAGGAGAGCCCTGCCCTTGCCTGGGGACCAGGGAGGGCTTCCTGGAGGAGGCGGTGTTTCCCCTGAGCCCTGAAGAGTATGCAGAACTTAAAGCAGCAAAAAGGGTGTGTGGAGGGAGGAGGGTCCATTATGGACCAAGAAGAGCAAGTGAAAGGCCTGAGACAGGCAGGGCTCCGGACCGGCAGGGCCATACTCTCAACCTAGCGACCACCACGGCGTTCGTGGGCAGCTACACGAATTGCCCCAAACTGGCTACTTCCATGTACATTTCCAGCTCCCAGGAGCCCCTCATGCCCTGGCCAGTCACCACTCCCGAGGGCCAGCACTGCCCTGACCAGCGCAGGCCCGCTCCGCTCGGGCTCCTGACGCCCTGAACTTCGAGTCACAGCTGCCCTGCTCTGCGCCTCCTTTGCTCAGCGTTGTGCTCGCGAGGAGATCGGTGAGCTGCGTGGGCCAGCAGCTCATTCCCTCTATGCACGCACCGCTCCCAGCTGCCCCTTCTGCTGCTGGAGTGCCCCTGGGTGCCCTGAGTTCGGGGCTCTGTGAATATGTGGATATTCTACATGAATCCATGCGACCACTCCTGTACGCGCCCATTGGTGGGCACGTGGGCCCATGTTTCTTGGATAAACACCTGCAGTGGGTTACAGTTTCCC